TATCAGTTTTTATCTTATCAGCAAAAAGAATACCAATTGAAGTTCAAGACAGAAAAGTCTGTCTTGTGTCTGGAAAGCATTTCAATTTCATGAAGCAACGTTTATATGGCCGAGGGAGGGAGTGTGTGTGTGTGTGTGTGTGTGTGTGTGTCATAAATAAATGGAGAAGAAAAGAAAAACATCCTAAGGCTATCTAAGTTAAACAAGTCATTCCAAAGGACATATTTAACGTCAACAATGTAATATCTTAACATTGATTGAGATTGATATAACATTTCCAAAATGTTACTATTTTTGTTGTTATCCTAGAGTGATAAAATATCATCTAAGATTTAAAAGGATCTCTGGATGATTAATCCCTTAATTTAGATTTGAAAGTTAACATTTTGCTTTCATGTGTGCTAATCTTGCTCAACCAGGAATTATAATGTGTTAGAACAACAGGGTGTGGCTATTGATTGCCTTTGAATGTTGGGAATTGTACTCAACTACTGGACCCCAAGTTAAAGAAGACTGATGTTATGTCCCAGTGATTCTTCTTGATGAAAAAAGACTGTGTCATAAATGGGCTTAGTTATTCAGTATTCATGAATTATTGTACCTTACACAAAAATATCTTTTCCAATATCTAAATTATTGTACTTCATAAACACATTCTATAAGGAGAGAGTTTTTAAAACTCTACCTGATCCTAGATCCTAAGACTTAAATAAAATAGGAGAGGAAACAACCTCTATCAGTTACAAGAATTTAGAGTTTACATTTTTAGAACCCTTGTAGGCAAAATGCTTCAGCTAATACATCCAATGCAAACATTTAAGCAAAAACTTCGTACAGACCAATAGACCAACCAAAAAAACTGCCATATATTTTTCTCTGATAATAATAAATGAAAATTATTGATAATGCCTTCTGCTATGGTTAAGCTAGCAGCATCTTGCTACAATTCTTTTATATATATGTGTGTGTGTGTGTGTGTGTGTGTTTGTGTGTGTGTGTTATATTTGTGCTTCCTCCCATGATTGGGGCTTACCAGGGGTTGTGACACTAATATATATAATATATAATATATATAAAATATGAATTTCACTTGCTTTCTGATGCATAACTGCAAAATAGATGAAATGTTATATGCTGGCATGCAATTTGGAGACATGATGTGGCTTCTGGGTGGGGCTGTCTAATAAATATTTGTTTTCAACGTTCTGCACAAGAGATGTGGTTTAATATGACTGTTGGGAAATCTTATGTACATATCTACAGTATTATTCAGTGTTTTTGAAAAGACATTTTGTTTGCATACTTCCAGTTGTAACTCCCATTTTACTATTAGCAGGAACAGCTGTTTGGTCTAGAAATGGAGGGCAAGCATCATCATCTCCAAATTATGAAGGTCCCTTACATTCTTTGGTATGTTTTTCAATGGCCAACTACCTGTTCAATATTAACTACCTGTTAATATCTTATTGCTGCCTACTTCTCTTTCCTATCCATTTTCCTAACAGAGCACAACATTAATTAGTGCACTCTTTCCCTGATCATTTCTAAATAGGAGATCCACCCATAAAGCACAACAGATTTCTACATACTCTTTTTCATTAGTTAATCAGCAATGCTAAATGCCTATGGAGATTCTCAGGCATAGTTGACCTGGATGACTGAGAATCTCCATAGACGTTTAGCCAATCAGCAATGATTACATAGTGAAATAGCATACATGGAAATAGGGCATGTTGTCTAATAAGATTGGAATCTATACATATAGAAGAAAAACAAGAAGATCAAACTTAGTTTGTTTAAAAAGCAAAATCAAGGAATGGCCTAATCAGAGAATGTAAATATAGTATTTTGAATAAAAAGGGCTTCTTTTTCCATAAGTAAATGGAAATATGGACAGATCGCCTTGCTTAGCCAGGAAGATGATCAAGCCTTAATTGTATATGGAAAAAAAGATAACATAATAAGCTATTCCTAATATTTATTTCATCAGTTTCAATGTGTTACGTTTATGAGTAATGTGCATGCACTGTAACATTCTCAATATTTTTATAACCATAGAGGAGATAATGTACTGCCATTATGGAGAGCATCTTAGTTTATATCAGCCCATCGAAATATATCAGTCTAGGTAAACTATATTCTGCTACCAAGTGATATTTCCAAAGCATCAGTATAAGAGCCAATACCAATGGTAATATTTCTGGCAAGAGATAACCTTGCATTGGTGTTCTTCAGTTATGTATGCCCTTCAAAATTGCCAAGACTGCCTGTTAGAGCCTGTGGGCTTAATTAAAAATTTAAATTCAGTTTGAACGTTGGGTTCCAGAATGAAGTCATGGCAAGAAAAGAGAACACTTATTTTCCTAGGTTAATGATAGTACCTTGTTATTGGCCTCTTCTCCTTAAGTCTTGTAGTACGATTATAAACATTCATAACTGGCCAAGATGAAATGAATAATGCCTTCAATGTGACCTACTATACAAAGAATCACTCAGCGACCATATTTCCCCAAAAATAAGACAGGGTCTTATTTTCTTTTGACCCCCAAATAAGCACTTGGCCTTATTTTGGGGGAGGTCTTATTATTTTTGAGGTGCAGGAAGCAGTGTGCATAGTCACCCCATGGCTGCTGCTGTGTTGCAATATTTTCAGGGAGGGCTTATTTTAGTGCATGAGCTCAAAACCCTGATTGGGCTTATCCGGGGAGGTCTTATTTTCAGGGAAACAGGGTAGTGGCATGACAAAAGATGCCTTAGATTTGACTTCCTCGAAGAATACGTTTCCACAAATGCCCCCAATGCCCTGTGAGAAGACATTTTTGAAGCTGAGGGAAAGTCAGAAGCTTCAGTTGCACGATGGTCCTAATATAGAAGCCACATTCAGAATAAGAAAGGAACATCGCCATTTCCATTGAGTGAAAATTAAGTATGGTGTTTTTCCACTGAGCATTGCGAAATATGTTAAATAAGTATGTTGACACCAGTCTTTTTTCCCATGTGGTTTCAGTAAGAATGATGTAGCCACTTCAGAAACATTCTTGAGAATTGTATAATGAATAATTTTGGCAGAATATAACCAGACACATTGCGTTACCTTATATCATCTTAGGTCTCACCCTTAAAAAAAAAAAAAAACAATGCCCTCCATAATTCTTTGAACTTTAAATAAAGTTAGATAGCCAGTGTTTCTCAACCTTAGGAACTTTTAAGATTTATTTATTTATTTGTCAACAAGTACAAGGAAAAAAAGAATGAAAACACATGAAAAAATGGCACAAATAAAGCAAAACCTAGCCATAAACACATAAAAAGAGTACATATAAATGGGACAATAGGACAGGGACAGTAGGCATGCTGGTGCGCTCATGCACGCCCCCTTAGAGACCTCTTAAGAAACTCTTAAGGTCAACGGTAGACAGCTTAAGGTAAAACGTATGGGGTTAGAGGAACTAACAGCAGGATTGGGTAGAGTGTTCCTCACATTTACTACTCTATTGCTGAAATCGCTTTGCCTGCAATCAAGATTAGAACGGATTACATTAAGTTTGTATCTATTGATAATCCCTTGTGTTATTGTTGAAGTAAAAGTAGTCATTAACAGTTAGGAGGTTATGGCAGATTGTCTTATGCACTAAGCTCAGGTCGAAATGTAGACGGCGTAGATGGGTGGACTTCAACTCACAGAATCCTCCAGCCAGCAGTTTACTCATTTAACTTATTTAAATTGCTCTGATGTCCTGAAATCTGTTTAGATGTTTGTGCTGTAAAAGAATAAAATACTATATTTTTTTTCTTATTCTTCTTTTTGAGTATTGGAATATATGTCCGAATGCAGACTATTTTTGATCATAGAATTCCACAGATCCATTTTTCACAGCTCCCGTTAAAAAGGGGAGAAGTATATAACCCTTAGTTAAGAAGTTAGCGTACAGAAATAATTTAATAGGTCATGGCAATTTGATATTTCTGACGCAAAATGTTTTAGGATCCCAGGGCAACAAATGTCTTGTAAATGTTCATGAGGAGTCAGTAGACCTGTTTTGCCCACAAAAATGAAAACAGAATTTTCAAAAGCATTTAGCAGCATAGAATAGAATAGAATAGAATAGAATAGAATAGAATAGTTGAAAGGGACCTTGGAGGTCTTCTAGTCCAACCCCCTGCCTAGGCAGGAAACCCTATATCATTTCAGACAAATGGTTGTCCAAAATCTTCTTAAAAACTTCCAGTGTTGGAGCATTTACAACTTCTGGAGGCAAGCTGTTCCACTGATTAATTGTCAGGAAATTTCTCCTCAGTTCTAAGTTGCTTCTCTCCTTGATTAGTTTCCACCCATTGCTTCTTGTTCTACCCTAGTTTTGGGTGTCAGTTGTTTCATTTACAGTGTTTTTGGTCAGCAAAGAAAAAAAAAAAAGCAAAATACTCTTAATAAATCTGTTTCTGAAACAGATTCAGAAGCAGAAACAGCCCAACTACAAGCAGTCGTCTTCGGTTTCAACTGCCTGACACATAGCAGTGGCAGTGAAAAAAATATACGATTCACCCTTTATGTGAGTTCTGCTCAAAAAGGAGGCAGCCTATTACGTTTTCTGATGCTCTCTTGTTTTTTTTTCATAAACTATCAGCAAAGCCGAATCGAAGACCGCTTGGAAAGACTGGATGATGCTATTCATGTTCTCCGGAACCATGCAGTGGGACCTTCAACTGCCATGCCTGGTAGTCATAGTGACCTCCATAGCTTAATAGGCCCTTCTCATAATGGAGCTATGGGAGGCCTTGGATCAGGATACGGGACAGGCCTTCTTTCAGCCAATAGACATTCGCTAATGGTAAGCCATAAAGATTCAACACTACGGATTTCTTTTTAAAAAAAATAAATGATAAATAATGCACGATTGGGATGTTTACACTTTTTTTTTAAACTAAGCTTTTATTTCCAGGACAATTTAGTGTTGCAGAAATGAAAGGCAGTGTAAAAGTAGAGATTCTCAGACATCCAGATCATGATTGTCCCGAAGGTGCTTTTTCAGGAGGCAGTTGGACTGTTTTGTTGTTGTTGTTTTTCTTTTGATGATGTTTCACTTCTCATCCAAGAAGCTTCATCAGCTCTGACAGGATAGTGGGGAATGGAAGGATTTATATTCCTTGCAGACAGCTGGTCATCTGCATCCTTTTAGAGCAGTGTTTCTCAACCTTGGCAACGTGAAGATGTCCGGACTTCAACTCCCAGAATTCCCCAGCCAGCAAATGCAAACAGCAAATGCTGGCTGGGGAATTCTAGGAGTTGAAGTCCGGACATCTTCACGTTGCCAAGGTTGAGAAACACTGTTTTAGAGGGTCTTTGAAACCCTTGGAGATTACCTGTGCCCTCAGGGTCACTTGTGTAGTGCTTCTGGTTCCTGTAGTCTGCAATTTTTTCTCTGGAAATCCATTCCTTACTCCCACACCATTCAAAAGGTGTTCATCCCAAATTGTAAAGGTAGAAGTGTAGAACGGCAGAGTAGTACTTAATGACAAAGTAATCTATCTTTATCATTTCTATTGCATAAGCAATTTATCTTCTGCAGTATATCTTAAAATGCATCTCTTGATTTCTCTTGCATTGGTTTTGGGTTTTTTTGAGTTATAGAATCTATCATGCTTAGAATACGTTCAGCCCATGATTTTAAAGAATCTGCTTAGCAGGAAGCTGCTAATCTGTTGCATTAGTCCTTCCTAAAATCTATTTCTGAAATATTTTTAGCTGAAATATATTTGGCTTCTTTCTATGTCTGGCACTAATATGAGATGGTGGGAAATGCAAAATAATATCCTTAGGTATGTTTCTAGAATTAACCTACCAGCCAAAGTCTGCAAACAGGGGAAAGTATTGCATTGGATAGGAGCTTAGTCCTAGACAGGAAGCACCATAAGATGAGTTAAGCCGCCTAGACAGGAAGCACCATAAGATGAGTTAAGTCTCATCAATTATGAGGCTTCATTTACAGAATCTTGTAAGTCTGAAAGTACAAATCTCCCATCGACGCTTTTATAGACTGAGATAATAGGGAGGTTTCTTTCTGAGGTTTTTTCACTGTCCTTTATGCAACCTCAGGCTAGGCCTCCTTTTATCTGATCATTCCCTAGACAGCATCTCTTCCTCTCTCTCCTCCCAAGATCATTGAACACTTCATTACAATATGTTACTGGCTAGGAGCTTGAGAAGGGAGACTTCCTATCTTGTTGACTGCAAAAGTGTTACAATGATTGAGGTGTTGGATTAGGACTTCTGAAATTCAGATTCAAGTCTATTCCCAGCCATGGATGACCCATGGACTCATCGCTCTTTCTTGACCTAATCTACCTAAAGTGTAGTTGGGAAAAATTGGAGGAGAGAAAGTTATGTTTGGTGCTGTGATGTGAGTTCCTGGGGAGCAACTGCCCTTTAACACATACATTTTCTGCATTTGGAAATATGAATCTTTACCACAAATAAACCCCTGTGAAACATTGCTTCCCTTTGCACCAAACCGGAACAGGTTTTATTCCTACATGTTAAACTAATGTCTAAATGAGAGATGTTCTAGTCTGCAAGACTTGTTCTTCCTTACCCTTCCTTACCATTGTTTTTCATTCATGTTTTCCTCTTCTTTGTCAAGCAATTTCACTGATCACATTGCCATGTATTTAAAGTATGCCTGAGCATTTAAACCTGCCCCCAGTTACATAGGAGCTGCTCAGAGAAAGCAGTTTCTATGTAGTTTGGGATAATATCTAAGCATCCAATCTACAGGGCAGAATGCTTAAGAAACCTAAAATCTCTCTTATCCATTCTTGCGACTTTCCCTTAATCTCCTAATGCCATCTTAATTTCTTTATTTAGAATAATTGGATTGAAACGGTGGGGGTACAAACGTTGGCATGTGCGTCTATTGTTTGGGTTGGAATAGCAAGCTATACAATGTTGATTATTTATTTTACCTTTTCACTTTTCAAACTAGCATGCTGTATTTGAATTCAGATAACAGGCATTGTTGCAAACAGTGTTATGAGTCAGACAGAATACACACTCTTGAAAATAGGCAATTCAATATAATCCATGTATCTGTAGTATGCATATAAATCAGCTTCCCCTTCAACATTACTTTTTAGAGTTTGGGTTATGGAAATAACCTGCCTAATTTATTTGGATGATAAATATCTGGCAAATTTTAGATGAAAACTTAATAATAACCTAATAATTTTAATTTGACTGAGAAATTCCATGGCATATAACTTTGTATATGTCTAAATAAAGTGGAATAATAAGAACATTCTCATAGATCAAGATTTCTGACATAATTTTCATAAGATCTCTTTAGAGTGGGATGATATTATTGTTGTTATTAATTATTGAGCATCTGAGGATAAAAGATTTTGGCTTATTTAAAAACAATCCAAAGGATTTATTGTTATTAACCTAGTTACTCAAACTAGTTTTCACTAGGTTCAAAACTAGAACTAGGTTAAAACTAAGACTTTTAATCACAATGTAAAGATAGTAAGGAAGGATATATTAATGTCCACATTTTGTTTAAGCAACCTCTGTTTGGAAGCTTATTGAAATAAAAGAAAAAGTACTTTGTGCAATAAAATAAATATGTTTTTTTATGTTGTGGTCTGTTGGTCATGCTGAGTAGGAATTCTGGAAATTTAAAGTTCTAACACATTTAGAAATAAGAAATGAGGGGAAGTTTCTGTATGGATGTCTCACTAATGCTTTTCTCAACAAAATGCTGAATATAATCAATTGATTAATTTATGATTCCAATATGAATCCAACAATTAGACATCCATCAAAAATTACCATGTGCTTGAAAGGTCATTTTCAACAACCCAGATAGGTTTGTTACAGTGGTGAAATTCAATTTTTTTTTTACTACCAGTTCTGTGGGCGTGGCTTGGTAGGCGTGGCAGGGGAAGGATACTGCAAAATCTCCATTCCCACCCCACTCTGGGGCCAGCCATAGGGGTTT